ATCAATCTCTCAACACGGTGTCATATTTTTCTGTCATATTTTTCGCGAAAAACATTTGAACCTATGATCCTTTGCCTCCACAATAAAATCTTCACTCAACAGTTTCGATATATTTGTTGCAAAAAGTATTCATTTGACATTATTTGTATAGTATATCTTGTTTACAAAGGAAATTCAGTTGAAACCCGTTATTTGAATATTTCTTGAGCAATAAATAGTTAAAGAAAAGTCTCCATTTTATAACTCAAAACTATTATACATAAAAAATTTATTATCATAATAATAAAGAACAAACGTGCGATGCACGAATTAGTAGACATAAATAAGAACATCCTTTCTTTACCGTATGTGAAGATAAATAATTTCTCCATTCCGTGTTATATAAGCTAAATTTTTTAAAAAGATTACGTTGAAACTACGGTTTTAAGATAGGGACAAAACATTACTATCACGGCTGTGGTGATAAGAAGCAACCTTCAATGCCAACATGGAAAATTATTATTTTGGAAGCGTGTTGAAAATCTATATATTACGTGTTCCATTTTATTTTATTTGATTTTAAGTCTGTTTAAAAAAATTGTCTCTTTTTTCTTTTGTTTAACTCTTTAATTTAAACTTTTCAAGTCACAAGTTTAAGACTTAAAAATTAAAGGATATGTTGGTATATTCAATAGTTCAAAACCATAAGATTTATAAGTTTTTTTTTTTTTTTACTTTGTTAGACTCTATGTCAAGTTAAACTCAGACAAACAAATTAAAATAGATTGAATAATTATTATTTTGCGCGTGGAAAATTATTTAATTGAATGTTTCTTAGACCTCATAGTTTAGACAAAGAAAGAAAAAGTCATTGCTAATAGCCTATATGAATAACAAAAAGTAGTCTTTGCTTCATTTCTCATTTTTCACAGCAATTCTTCATAATGAATACTTCAACAACAGAAAATGGCGGTAGCTTATGGAGTGAAATCATTGAATCAACTAGAACAATATTCAAATCTCATGTTCGCCATTTTCATGCTATTTCAATCCTCTTCCTTTTGCCTATCATGTTCTCTCTAATTCTATATACTTCTTTCGAACTTGCCATATTTTACCCCGATTATGATTTCACTACTTACACTCAACTTCAATTTTTCGCAATTTCAAGTTTCGTATATGCTCTGTTTTTGGCCTTCTTTTTCATCTGTGGAGTAGGCACTACTACATATAGCGCGGCTCAAGTGATCTATGATAGACCGATCAACGTCGTTTCGTCTATTAAATCTATGAAAAATTCCTTCTTCCCTCTTCTCTCCACCTTCATTGTTTCGCAAACAATTTTCATTTCAATCACTCTTCTTTTCGCCCTGATTTTGGTGTTTGTAGTGCGAATTTTTCAATCTCTCGGACTAATTGAGCTCAAATCAGACTCAGATCACTTGTTATTTTTGGTTATTTTCTCATTGATCGTGCTTGTACCGATTCTGATTTGGCTACAGGTGAACTGGTCTTTAGCTTATGTGATAACTGTAGTTGAATCGAAGAAGGGCTACGAGACACTAAGGAGAAGTGCGAAGTTAGTAAAGGGGGAGAGATGGGTAACTTTGAAGATTCTTATGTATTACGAGATTGTGATTGTATGGATGGTGGTTTGGTGTGCCATGTTTTTAGCCAGAGGCGAACAGTGGAGGAGCTTCACGGGGATACTGCTCACTGCGTTTACTTCGGTGATGGGATATATACTGATGAATCAGTATCTTGTGGCGAACGTGGTGTTGTATATGCACTGCAAGGAATTAAACGATGAGAAATTGATGTCGGAAACTGCTGCTGGAGAATACGTTTCCCTGCCTGTTGAAGAAGAGGAGAAGAATCATGATGTTGTTTAGTAATTTGGTTTGTTTTAAATTAGAAAGATTAAAGGTGTGGTGCTTTGATATTGTAATTGAAGAGATGTATGAGCCAAATAGTTATATTGATATGTAAAAATTATGGATATGTTGTGGGAACGCGGTATTGTATGTGTATTGCAAGGCATAGGTGGACCAGGAATTTGACGAAAGGTGTGCAATCTATCTTAGATGTTCCTTGACAAATGAATTTTGGTTTGGGGTATCTTGTCAAACATTGTAGTAATTGTTTTAAAAATTTCTTTGCTTAGATGTCTTTCTTTCATCCATATTCGCGGTTTTGTTTGATACTATTGTTGGGTTTTAAAGGCGTGAACAGGAAATGAAGGGTTGTTTGATACTATTGTTGGGTTTTAAAGGCGTGAACAGGAAATGAAGGGTTGTTTGATACTATTGTTGGGTTTTAAAGGCGTGAACAGGAAATGAAGGGTTGTTTGATACTATTGTTGGGTTTTAAAGGCGTGAACAGGAAATGAAGGGTTGTTTGATACTATTGTTGGGTTTTAAAGGCGTGAACAGGAAATGAAGGGTTGTTTGATACTATTGTTGGGTTTTAAAGGCGTGAACAGGAAATGAAGGGTTGTTTGATACTATTGTTGGGTTTTAAAGGCGTGAACAGGAAATGAAGGGTTGTTTGATACTATTGTTGGGTTTTAAAGGCGTGAACAGGAAATGAAGGGTTGTTTGATACTATTGTTGGGTTTTAAAGGCGTGAACAGGAAATGAAGGGTTGTTTGATACTATTGTTGGGTTTTAAAGGCGTGAACAGGAAATGAAGGGTTGTTTGATACTATTGTTGGGTTTTAAAGGCGTGAACAGGAAATGAAGGGTTGTTTGATACTATTGTTGGGTTTTAAAGGCGTGAACAGGAAATGAAGGGTTGTGACTCTCCTGAAGAGTTGTGATTATGCCGAAGGGTTGTGTCCTTTCTAAAGGGTTGTGACCGTTTGAAAGGTTATGCCTTTTCTCAAAGTGTTGTGACCTTTCTGAAAGGTAGTCTTCTTTCCAAAGGGTTGTGACCTTTACCCTTTGTTGGCTATAAATAGAGAAGTTTTCTCTCATTTTTTTGTATCGAATTCTTCCCTTCTTTTGCATACATTTCTTACAAAACAAAATCGATCAATCGTGTCTGTGTGTGTGATTCGTTGCTGTCATTTTGAGTTCGTTGAAATTGTCGAAGTTTGAGGTACCGCTACTTCTTTAATGGTTAATCAGTTTTATCTTGGGAGGAATTAATCTGCAACCTCGGGTACTTGAGGGGATTAAATTTCTTAAGGACACACAGTGGGTTCTGTGGACTCAGATAGTTCTTTGTGTTTTTCTTTTCATTTTTTAGATTTGCTAATCTGAATACAGGAGTTAACAACTATTTCATGTTTTCATTGGATTATCGTAGGTTCATCTAGCAAGTATAATGACATGCGGATATAGATTTTGGGTCGTGACAATAATAAATGTCTTACTTCCGTAATATAACATGATCTATTGTACATAGCAAAACCATTTGGCTCACACAATCTGTTCAATTTATGAAGACAAACCAAATCTTACACGATTTGTAAAGAAATTAAACAGCCTCAAGCTATCACAAGGGAAACTTCAAAGGAACCAACCACTAGACGATTTGATTAGTCTTTCACCCTTATACCCAAGTCAGACGATCGATTTGCATGTTCAGTATTACTGCAGCCCTCAGGCACGAGAATTTCCTCTCGATTCACCTGCTCAGACATAGTTCACCATCTTTCAGTCCCGACAAGTACTACACAATATTATGATTCTTCTCCTCCTCGTCCATTGGCACTGATACATCTTCAAATGACAATTTTTCGCCTTCCAAGTCCTTGCAATATATATACAATACCACATTCAATACAAGAAACTGATTCATTCCCAAAGCTCCGAGCACTGTACACTGCATAACTTGTGATGTAACAGAAAAACTCCGCCAATGATCATCCTTCCCCACACCCAAAATCACAAAAACGACATTAGACCCAATCACCATTGCTCCCAACGCTAGCCCTAGAACAAATGTGTCCAGAAAGCTACCCATCTCATCCCTTTCACCAAATACGCACTTCTCCTCAGCGTTTCGAATCCCCATCTGGATTCAACCGCTGCTATCGCATAAGCTAATGACCAGTTCACCTGTAGCCATAGCAGTACTGGTACGATCACGAGAATGAACAAAAACCAGAAGTGATTCGAGTCGTTTTGGAGTTCAATTAAGCCTAGTTTTTTAATAATTTGGAGTAAAACGACTAAGGCAAGGGCGAAAATGATAGAAACTGAAATGAAAATGGTATGTGAAACGATGAAGGTGGAGAGAAGGGGGAAGAAGGAATTTTTGATAGATTTAATCGACGAAATGAGGTTCATCGGTCTATTGTTGTATGCTTGAACGGTGCTATATGTAATTGTGGCTATGGAACAGAGGAAAAACAGGGCAAAAAACAGAGTGCACACCATAGTTACAATAATTTCGAAACTGGAAATGGACAATTGAGGTTGATGAGATGAAGTGACGAAATTATAATCGGGATGAAAGAAGGCGAGATAGAAAGAAGGATATACAATTAGAGAGAAAATTATAGGCCACAGGAACATGATTGAAAGTGCATGGAAATGGAGAGAATGAGATCTGAGTACGAGCAAGGTTGAATTTAGGATCTGTCTCCATACCGGGATACAATTTTCTGTAGAACCAAACGACATTGAGTTTGATTATCACCAAAGATTAATGCAGAAGAAGAAAATGAATGCTGGTGAGAAATGGAAAATGAAAGAAACAGTTGTAGATATTAGCCTTTTCTTTGACTATTTGTACTAGTATTGGCTCTAAGAAACAGTCAAATTAGGGGGACATTTAAACCTTCTCCTTTTGTGATTTGACCAAGACTAAGTCATGACATTAATAATTGGTCACAAGCCAACTGGCACTATAGTGAAGAAGTATCGAGGAAAGATAATTAAACAGGATACGTCACAACTCTAGACTATCGATTCCAGATAGAAGACTATGAAGGACACGGATTAGGATAGAGGGTTAGTTGTGTAGTCGAGAGTTGCCCTCATTTAGTCATTAACTTAAAATTTTAAAAAAAATTAAAAAAAGAGAGAGAAATGCTAGGAACCACAGGAGTTGCAGGATAAGCCAAAAGCAAATAATATCTGTGTACTGTTTTCCTTCATTTTTCACACACACCTTGGGGAGCAGCTCCCGCTGAAGCAATTGTAGCAGCTTCTGCACCTGTAGCTGTCATTGTCGTCTTCTTCTACTTCTTCTTCTTCTTCTCATTTACCTCCGATGTCTACTCCTACCGAAAATCGAAGACTATGCGTAGAGATCCTGAAATCAACCCACCGCATAATGAAGTCTCACCCTCTACATTTCCATGGACTTTCAATTCTCTTCCTCTTACCTATCATTTTCACTCTCATCATATATCCTTCTTTCCACCTCGCTCTCTTTCATCCCAACTATAATTTCCACCAACTTGACTCCCATTACCTTCCCCATTCCAGTTTCGAAATTGTCCTACCCATACTATACACTCTCTGTCTGTTCCTCTTTTACCTCTGTGCCATAGCAACAATTACACACAGCGCTGCTCAAGCATTGTGCGATAAATCGATCAGCCTTCTTTGCTCTGTTAAATCTATTAGAAATTCCTTCTTTCCTCTTCTCTCCACTTTTATCCTCTCTCATACCATTCTCATTTCAATTGCTCTGTTTTTCGTCATACTCGTTGTTTTTCTAGTCCAAATTCTTCAATCTATCGGATTAATTGAACTCAAATACGACTTGAATCACTTTTTATATTTGTGTTTTTTCTCGTTGATTGTGCTTGTACCGATTCTGGTTTGGCTACAGGTGAATTGGTTATTAACTTATGTGATAGCAGTGCTTGAATCTAAGTTTGGTTTCGAAGCACTGAGGAGAAGTGCGAATTTGTTGAAGGGGAAGAGATGGATAGCTTCGAACGCGATGCTGTCTTACGGGCTTTTGATGGGACTGTTGGTGGTTACTCATTCCATTATTTCAGTCATGGTGGGTGTTGCCCAGGGTAGCTTGATGGCGATAATGGTGGTTGTGGTGGGATCTCTTATGATGAATCACTATCTTCTAGGGAATGTGGCTTTGTACATGTATTGTAAGGACGAATTCTTCAATGGTGAAAAATCACCATTGGAGATCGGACACAAGTTCACCGGAGCTAGTGAGTATGTATCTATGCCAATGGACGATGAGAAAAATCATGCTATTGTGTAAGTTTGTTTAATTTCTCTATAAATTGTATTATAAAATTTGGTATGTTTTAATCGTGTGATGCTTGTTTCTTTCCTCTCTCAAAGTCGAGGATCTTTGGAAACAATCTTTTTTAAGTAAGATCTGAGTTAGAACCAATATTGTATTAATCATATGAATTTGGAAGTACTCTTACCATTGGTACCAACTACCAAGATATATATATATATGAATCTTTGAGTGATGAACTGTTTAGTTACTCCGATCTCCGAGGGAAATTTTACACCATTCAAGTCCTTGCACTGCATATACAACTCAATGTTCCCTATGATACTCAAATGAAAATCTGTTTATGGAATAGTAAACAAGTAAAAATAAACATACATACATATTCTACTACCCATTCGTCGATATCAACCTCTTACTATTATAGAGTGTGCTGAAATTGACGGGATTACTCTACCTTTAATAGTCATGATATATTATTGCCATTTCGAAACTCCATGGAAGGAAAATTTATCAAACTACTTTAATGTCAAATTTGCACAAGTCATCATCCACGGGAAGAAAGAAAAGCACTAGACTTTATCTAAGTCTTTGTTTAACTTCAACAAGCATTCGACTTCTTTATTTTACTTGTAGGGCTCCTCAAATAATTGTCAAACTAAATTCCAAAATATATCTATCTTCTTTCCCTTAAAAAAAGAAAATCAAAATGACTACAATACATAAATCTCGACCCCAAGTGTGGTTGAAGGATTAAGATCTCTTTATTCTTAACCAAAAGTTTCAGGTTCGAATTTTGAAAATAAAAAAGTATCCTAATGCAAAGCCCTTTCTCCGTTAGATGAGGCATAATTAGTCAAAGAAAAGGCTCCACTTTTGACATGGATACGACATCATTTTTGGAGTGTTTGAGCAACATAACTAATAAGAATTATTTTCAATCCTACTACTAAAAAATAATTTTTTGATTGTTTCTTGAGCTAAATAGTCAATGAAAAGGCTTCAGCTGGAACAGTTTTTTTCATTTTCCATTTCACAGCATTCATCTTCTTCTTCTTGTTCCTCCTCCATTGTTGCTCGTCATCCATTATCCACCTCCAATGTCGATGGAACGATATCCAAATATCATTAGATCACATATACAAAGCTAATTTCAATGTCCTTACACAACCCTTTTCCTCTTGCCTATCTCTTCCTCTCTTATTTTATATCCTTGTTTCCACCTTGCTCTCTTTCATCCAGATTCCGTCACTTCCACGCAATCACAACCCCGTTGTTTCTTTCCCAATTTCGAAACTATTGTATTACTAGTCTACGCTCTGTTTCTCGCCCTGTTTTTCCTCTGTGCCATAGCCACAATTACATACAGCTCTGTTATTCAAGCGTGCCACGATAGATCCATCACCTTCATTTCATCTATTAAATCCATCAGAAATTCCTTTTTCCCTCTTCTCTCCACCTTTATCATTTCTCACACCATTTTCATTTCAATCATTCTCGTTTTCGCGCTAGTTCTGCTTCTCTTATACCAAATTCTCCAATCTCTCGGATTAATTGAACTCAAATCACTTGTTATTTTTAGTTACTTTCGCATTTATTGTGGTGTTACCGATCCTGCTATGGCTACAGGTAAACTGGTCATTAGCTTATGTGATAGCAGTGGTTGAATCAAAATCAGGTTTCGAAACACTGAGGAGATCAAGTGCTTATTTGGTAAAAGAGAAGAGATCAGTAGGTTTTCGGATACATTTAAATTTCGTGCTTATGGTGGGAGGAATGGTGATTGGTTCTAACGTCTTTATAGCCAATACTATGCTGTATGGTCTAGTCAAGTCTGGTTGGTGGAGCATCCCGATGGTAATTATACTATGTATATAAAAAATTATACGAACTATACAGATTAAAAATTACATAATCTTTAACTAAATTTCTGACTTCGCCACAGGTAATGGGTACTATGATGTGGTGGATACTGGCATCTTCTGGGATGAGAGAGTTACTTATGAAGAATGTGCTTCTGTATATGTATTGCAACGACTTTAATGGCGGAAAATTGACCTTGGAGGAAATCGGAGGCAAGTTTGGAGACGAGTTTGTATATTTGCCCTTAGACGATGAGAAGAATCATGGCATTGTTTAATTTTTCTAGGGGCTCTATTTGTTTCAACATTGTTGTAGGTTGAATTCTCGTATGGTTACTTAATTAATAGTTATTATCTCGAAAAAATACATTTCTTCTTGATTTCAATTTTATTCTACCCTTGTCTCTTGTCTCTCTTGTCTCATTTGATTGGCTTGGATCCCTACTACTCTTACCCACCCAATGTTGTTCTGATTGAATTTCAAAGATCTCACTCGCTGTCAAAGTGCATTTTGTGAATTAATAATGAATGTATTGTTGTAAGGTAATTAATAAAAGAATCTCAAGTTCATAATTACATAAATTAGTTATTGAGCATTTTTGTCATTAAATAATTTAGAGCTTGTTTGGATTCGGCATAATACATAAATATGTCCTTTTTATTTAACATATATGCCCTCCAACTTGAGATGTTCACAAATAGACACTTAAATTTGCATAAAATTAAACAAGCAGGCGCAAACATCCTACATGACATAATACACGTAGGATGCCACATAAGACACAATATTTTCATGTAGGAAGAATGTTTCTATTTGTTCAATTTTATGCAAGTTTAAATGTATACTTGTGCACACTCAAAGTTGAAAGATATAGATGTCAATAAAAGCTAAGTTAAAGGGTATATTCAACTGACAAACTTTATAATGCACAAGTAAGCACTTTAACTATTCAAAACTCAAACAAATAAACACTTGAATATTACATGTCATATGCAAGACATACAAATGCTTCTACATGGATTAGTGAGCCTTACATGCATGTCATGTATTTATTTGTTTAATTTTATACAAATTAAAGTATGTATTTGTGCATACTCAAAATTAAATGATATAAATGTTAGTTGAAGTCAAATTTAAGAGCACGTTTATATATTACCTCTAATTAAAATCACAAAAAAAAAAAAGGGGGCAATACTCTTTGTATACGGTTCTCCTTCATTTTCCCCAATTTCACTGCCATCATCCTCTTCCCCTAGAACAAATTCTTCAATCTATCAGACTAATTGAACTCAAATACGACTCGAATCACTTGTTAATTTTACCTGTACCAGTTCCATTAGCGGAAATGCTTAAACCTTCAAGCTTGAAAGTGAGCTCCAAGCTCGTTAACTCACATACAAAATTTCAATCCTTCTACCCTGAACAAGACCTTAAGGGACAAAAAGTAGCTATAATTGGCCTTGGAAAATCAGGCTCAAGTGCTACAAAGCTTGCTCTTGCTAGAGGTGCTTCAGTTATAGCCATTGATCAAAATGAGAACTCAGGATCAACATTTAACATTAATAATGGTTTCTTAGATCTGAAAAATGCTGATTTGAAGACATTTTTTGGTAATTTTGATCATAAGGTTCTGAAAGAGGCGGATATTGTTGTCGTTTCTCCTGGAATTCCACTGGAAAAGTATGGAATTCAATCAATGATATGTTCGGGGAAGGAAGTACTCTCAGAGTTAGATTTTGCTGCGCAAGTTATTCCGAGTTGTACTAAGGTTTTAGCTGTTACAGGAACTAATGGGAAGTCTACTGTTACCACATTTGCAGGACAGATACTTAATCATTTGGGTTTCGAGACGTTTGTTGGTGGTAACCTTGGAGTTCCACTCTCAGAAGCTGGTTTTCATTCGTCTAACCGGAGACCTTTAGAGGTGGCTGTGGTGGAGGTGAGTAGTTATCAGCTGGAAATCCCACCGAAATACTATTGTCCTTCGGTTGCTGTGATCCTAAATCTTACTCCTGATCATCTTGAACGACACCAAACGATGAAGAACTATGCAGCAATCAAGTGTCGAATCTTTTCTCACATGAGAGGGAATAAAATTGGTATTCTTCCACTTGGAAATCCTTATCTTGATGAAGCAGTTATGGATCACGCGGATGGTGTTAGTCTTGCTTGGATTGGAGGTTCCCCTGGTGTGAACATTGATGTGGAGGCGAAGATTGCTGAGTTAAAGCTTCCTACAATAGGCTGTGTTTCACAATTACAATTGGATGAGCTGAAGGCAGTTGGGAAGCACAATTACACCAATGCTGCAGTGGCTGCATTATCAGTTCTTGGGTTGGATATTGAGATCAAAGCAGAAGCTTTTAGTTCAACAATTTCCAAATTGACAACTCTGCCTCATCGAATGCAAGTTGTTCATGTAGACGATGATGGAATAGTTTGGGTTGACGACAGCAAGGCAACAAATGTTGAAGCAACATATTTTGGTTTGATTGGTTTTGAGCTTAAGTCAGTGGTTCTACTTGGTGGTGTTGCAAAGGAGGTAAAGATGAAAGGTTCTAACGGATTTGAACAGCTGGTTGAACCTCTTCGACACCATCGAGGTGTAATCACTTTTGGATTTTCAGGAAAGATGATACAGAAGACACTCTGTGCTAATGGTCTAACAATTCCTTGTTTGAATGCTGAAACTCTTAAGGATGCTGTGAGCTTGGCAAGGAGTATAGCACAACGTGGCGATGCCATTGTACTGAGTCCTGCTTGTGCTAGCTTTGACGAGTTCAGAAATTTCGAGCACAGAGGAAGGATCTTTCAAGAGTTTGCTATCTCTTCAGAGTGACTGACCATCTCTTCCACGTTCTGCTGGTCACTCGAGATGGACTATTTTCGCGAACTTTGCTAGTGAGAGTTGATTCGGATGCCATAAATTGGAACTTTAATCCTTGTTGAATATTTGAAATATGAAGTTAATGATTTACTGAAATTTGAGTAATGCAGTATTGTACCTTGGCTTTTGATCATTCTTTCCTCTTAAGATTTAGGACATTGAATGTTACTCCCTCCGTCCCATTTTATATGATGTACTTTGATTTGGCACAAACTTTAAGAAAAATAGAAAGACTTTTAAAACTTGTGGTCCAAAATGAATGATAGTAATTTGTGTGGTTGTAAATCATTTCATTAAGGGTAAAAAAGACATTTTATAGGCAAATTGTTACTTAAAATAGAAATGTGTTATTCTTTTTGGGACTGACTAAAAAGGAAAGTAAGTCATATAAATTGGGACAGAGGGAGTAGTATGCTAAGATATAGTTAGATATAGGCAAACTAAGAGTTCTCTACAACAACAAACCCAGTATAATTCCACGAGAAGAGTTTGGAAAAGGTAAAATGTACTCAACCTTATCTCTACCTTTATGGAGTAGACAGATTGTTTACGATTGACCCTTGACAAGTATCTAACCTCTGGCAAACATTTAAGTAGTCATTGTATCAAGAATAGTAAGGCAAGCAAGAGATCCCAACATTAGAACATTGAAGGCACTCCCAAAAAAATTGTTAAGTAGAAATCCACATCTAAGTGATGGCAGCAAGAAGTGATCATTGAATGCTGCATTTGAGGACAAGAGAATAGAAAGTTTTTTTTCCACTAGACATTTACAGCACTTCTCTCACCCAAAAATCCAAAAATTTGAACTCAATGGACAATGGAACAGGCCAAGTTGAAGGTATATACTACTGGACAAACATCATCAACAAATTAAGAAATGTTAACAGATCATGTAGCTTCAAGAGCTTACAGAAGAATTCCCAAGTATGTTTGGAGGTTCAATGCTTCCTGATGTTAGCCTGGCTTGATGAAGACGGGACCATCAATCTTCTGACTCTATCATCTTGTTGATCAGAGCCAAAAAGAATGCTACTCCACCTTGTTGACCTTTGCACAATTCGGGTAGGCACACGATCACTATCTTCCCCACCAGATGCCTCATATCCATCACTAGTCGATCTAGACAATGGAGTGTCCTTCTGAAGAGTCATTCCAGATGATAGATGACCTACAAGACGTGCAGCGTCTTCAACTCCTGAGGATGAAACCCGGAGTGGGTGAATGTCGGGAGAGTCCAAACTACTCTCAGGTGAAGAAGCAACAACAACACCTGAGGTGGACAGTCCTCGGGTTGTTCGGAAATCACTCCGTGCTTCAAGCTGAAGGGGAGCTAAACTGCTTGATGACTCAGTTATCATGGGCCTTCTACTGTTTTGAGCTATATCATTGGGAATTTTACTCATGGTTTCAAAGGGTAACTCTGCAGGGAGTCGAACTCGTTTACTAGCTCTCCTTCTATTGTTATCAACCCTAGGCACCATGCGACGCCCGCTACTTCCTAAACTGCTATTCGTTTCAAGAATGTAAGGTTCTTTGTTTCTCACCACTGGCTGGAGAATTTTCGATTTCTTCCTTGCTTCAGCAGCAGCTTTTGAAACATCCTCTGCATTTAATCGTGCTAACGTCCATGGGCTAATCTTCACAGCAGCTGGATTCTTTTTCTTGATAGGTTCCTCCGCCGTTGACCTTTTGCCAAGTGAACTGACCGATACAGTGTCAGGAGGAACTACATCATACTGCAGGGAACGACCAAAAATTAAACGAAAGTTAGTACATTAATCTTTTCCTATTCACCTATACAAAAACATTAAAGCACACACTGTCCAGCTCAAGAAGTATACTTGATACTACTGTAGAGGAAAATTGCTCAAGTCCCTTTGGTTTTTATATGAGGAAAGAAAAAAAAAAAAAGCTGAATTGGAAATATTACATCAAACTGCATGTGTCAGACATAAAAAAGCAATCCCTCTTAATCTCTCAATGCTATGTCATTCTCAATCTCTAACAATAACCAGACCATATGAGTCCTACCTTAGACCAATCACAACCACAGAATCCCTTAATGGTTGTAACAGCCACACCAAAGAATCAACCAAAGAGGGAATTGTTCAAGATTTGCTATCTGTCAAAGTGGATTACTATGCTCACAAGGACAACTTGGCAAACCTCCACGGCAACAGCACAAGGTTTTATTTTGCTAAAATATCTTCATAGTTTTGACAACACAAGAGCCAAAATACTGAACAAACATACTTTCTTACAGGAGTCCACTTGAAAGAGCTTCTATCCACAAACCGGCAAAGCATTTTCCACATTACTGGGCTAAATGGAATTTCTTTTCTTTTGGTAAGTTATGGAATTGAAGCTAAGAAATGTGAAAATAGAAACTAAATTC